ACCAGAGTTTATGATATCAGAGGTCAAACTTGGGGAGAAAAGGAAGGTAGAGAATTTTAAAACCCATTGCCTGAGTCAAAGTTGGGATATATCATTTGGAGGCAGAAAGCTTGGATTTGAGTCATTGCTCTGCTAATTAGTAGCCATGCAATTTGGAGCAAGTCATGGAACCCCACAGGGCCATGGTTTCTATATCTGGAAACTGGGGGCAGGATTATCTAGCTCCTAGAGATGACTTGGGAATCAAATGAAATCATGGATTTTTAAATGCTCTGCAAACTGAAAACCACCCCCCAGAAGTGGGAGATTGGGGCAGCAGAGTCAAGTCACGTAGTAGATGATGAGTCAGAAGGATAATGCGGTGCCAACATGTTTCTTGGGCTGTCTGCATCATTTAACGTGTCAAGGCAGCTGTTGCTTAGCCCTTGGCTTGAGTCATCCTGATTAACAGGTGCCTGGCCAGCCAGGACTGTGACTCCAAGCTGATTGGATGGCTGAGTTGGGAGGAACTCCGAAACTTGGCCAGTGACTGGAGAAAGCTAAGACAGCAGCCAGAAGAGAAAATAGCCTTCCCCATCCAGCCCAAGGACAACTGGGTCATCGATGAATCTCATCTCACAGTCTTTCTCCAAGGGCACATGTGCAACGATTCTTCCAGGATCTCAGTGGTAGTGAAGAGGGACTCCAACCAACAAGCTCATCAGCATGTGAATTATTTATGTTCGTAACATGCAAGTTTACACAGATCCATTAACAAAAATTACATCTGGCCACCACTTCTAAACAATCACAGTGACTGTAGTTTTAAGTAGAGGCTGAGATAAGAGAACTGCCATCCTCAAGCCTACAGACTATCTTATCTCTCCTTGACCTCAGCAGCTGGCAGCTAGATAAATGGGTAAGAACATGGGCTCTGGAGACAGTCCTGCTTCGTCCTAGCTCTGTCACCTTGGGACACTTACCCACTCAGTTTCTCCAGCTGTAAAATGAGAATAATGATACAGTAGTAGCTGCTTTTCAAAGAGGTTTTAGGGTTAAAGGAGATGACCTTTGCAAGATGTTAAGCACAGTGCTGCTCTCAGAGCAAGCAGTCCAGAAACAGTAAATGGCATGTCCACTTCCACAGCCAGTTCAGGTTGCCATCTTAGATCGAGCCCCTTTCTCACTGGAATCTGCAGGACTCTTGACTGTTAAAAGTGGAAGCACATTTAATTAAGACTATTGAGGACAGAGGGGTTTTTATTTCTTCGAGCCAGAGGGTATCTTGAAGGTTCACAAGAAGCTCTTTCGGGAGACAAAGAGGACCCCAAATTAGAAAAGCTCTAGGTCACCCATGAGCTCTTCAACCAAATTGGATCCATTTTTATCTGATTTTTTATATGGGAGCTTGGTGTAGGGTTTTGCTTGATAAAAAGTTTTCACTGGTAAGTAATTCAACCTCTTCATTGTACAAGGAGAGAAGCTGAAACCCAGAGAGAGGTGGCTTGTCCAAGGATACCTTGTGAATATATAACAGACACAGAGCTGGTTTTTATGTCTCCAAACATTCGTTAAGCTTAATAGTCTACATTATCAGTCTAAATAATTAGTCTAAATTATTAGTTATTAGACAGTTAATAGCCCCAATGCAACTATCCTGTCCTTAATCAGACCACAGTTACATTCAGTCCAATATGCTCCTTCTCCTTTGAGACGTGGGCTGAAAAGGCATTATCTCAGGTCCAGAGAGACGGGGAGTGTCACTTAGGTGCATATACCATGTGCCAGTGGTGTGCAGTAGAGCCTAAGAACCTTCACCTCCTGTTGCTTTGCTTTCGCTGTTATTTTCACACTGGTGGAAGAGCAAACCAAGCCAAATTGAAAGAGCTAGCAAGGAAATAAGGAGGGAAGGAGAGAAAAGAATGCATGAAATCTGAAATTGGGAGAGTTCTGGATATACACATACATGGATAGTGACTGGCCCCCAGGAACACCATTAAATTATCGTCGTCCTGTCCTCATGTGCGTCCTCGGAGCTGGCAGCTGTTCTGTGTTTATCTGAGCCAGGCTCTGTGCCAAGCACTTTGCACATGTTTCCTCATTTGAATCTCTCTAAAACCCTATGTGGTAAGTAGTAGTATTCCCATTTTACAGATGAGCAAAGAAGTACAGAGATATTAAATAAATAGCCAAGATCACAACAGAGGGGCAAAACCAAAATTAGTCACGTCACTGTGACTCCAAAACTCTTGCTTTTAACCATGGTGCTCAGTGGACTCATATCCCCTACAGCCACATGTAACGTCTGTAGATTCAACTAGATATGTTCAAACAAGCAAGGAAGCAAAACAACCAGAGAGAGAAAGAAATAATCCAATAATGTAGGTGGCTCCAACTGTCCTTCTAACCACTGATCATGAACCCCAAGGTGAGTTTCAGATAGAATATGTCAGTTCACAGCCACCTTCTGTAGCTTTATCGCTACCACATAGCGAGAGTGACTCTGGACACATTTTTCCATTTCACCTAAGTGTACGTCAGCTATGTCATCTGAGGCTCCCAGACACAGCAACGGTCTGCTCCAATACTGGGAGAAAAATGGCTGTGTTTCGACTCCCGCAGTCTCCAACAAGTCCTTCTGAGAGATGTTCCAGGGAAATTTCGACCAAACCCCATTTTTCTCCTGTGTGCTCATTTTAGAACCCAGTCTCTGTTTCTGGACCGACAGAGAGCCCGATGGAAGGCAGAAGAGCCAGCCCCTGGTCCTCACGATGCCATCAGCCTCATAGATGGGAGACGCCTCCTCCCTGTCTGCCAAAGGAGAGGTTGGACCACGCTGATCACCGAGGAGCCCAACGATGAAGAAGCCCGGGCGTGGATTTGAATCTCGTCTCTGAAGGCTGCGGGAACTGGATTGCACTGCGTGGAGCTCTACCAGGAAACTGTTCAGACCTGTAGGAGATTCCAGGTCTCACACAGCGGACACCCACTAACCCCACCCTTCCCGGAAACACCATGTTGTTTAGTGGCCGCGGCTCTGCCCGTGTCTGTGGGGAAATAAAAGGGGACGGCTCCTTGGCCGGGAGGCACAGTTGCATCTGGGCTGGGGCTCGGACTTAGACCTGAGGAAACAAAGACGGGCTGCCGAGGCGCTCTCTCCATCCAAATCAGCCCCCCCACACACACACCCCGGCAAAACTGGCCACTTGATAACTCATAATCTCGATGACAGAAGAGCGGTGGGGAGCCAAGGGAAGAGATGAGATCCTTTCCAGCCGACTGGGATCTGAGCTGTTGAATCCAGAAGTTTATTTTATTAAAAATAAAAAGGGAGAGGAAAAAAAATGACCCCGAGTGATTATAGAGCCTGAGGACAGCACATGGCTGGGCTGCCTGGTGAAAGATGAGGACGTCCTCCTCCAGCCAGCGGTTCTGTCCTCATCATCCCAAGCAACCAGCTATGTTGGCGTTGTTTTCTCTAAACGAATTGACCCGTTTTATTCGAACAAATAGACCAATTGTTTCAGTGCCAGGCAACATAGCCTTCGTATTCTCCTGCAACTTAGCAAAGTTTCTCACATAACAGTTTTGCATGCCCGCCCAGGCGGATGAAACATACAACTTAATCATCTAGGGCCCTGAGCCAAGGTGACTGCAGGAGGAGACAAACACAACAGCCCATGTGTGATGAAGGTCCAAGTCCCCATGGAACTCAGCAGAAAACAATGCTCCTTGGGGATGGACCCTATTAAGCGGTTAGGTCCTCCCCCAGTGAAGGTTCAGTTGTAAAGGACCCAGAAACAGGCAGTTGTAGGCTGAACCATCCTGCTGCTGACACTTTGCTTTGTAAGGCAATACCCCCTGACTCCTGTGGTCTCCCCCTTGAAGTGGGTCCCTCTGCCCCTAACCAGACATGCTCTGCAGACCAGCCTTCTTAAGGAACCAAGCTCCTCTCTGCGTCCTAAGGCTAAGGCAGGTATCCATTTGCTCTCCAGTTTTAGGAAAGGGTGTGTGTGTGTGTGTAATTAATATTAATATTAATGCTACATCTATCTTGTACCTGTGAACTATAATACAACCCAAGAACCTTCATCTCCTGTTGCCTTGCTTTTATTCTCAAACTAGTTTTAGGGGTAAGTCTTTTCTTCTCTTTCCAGGCTAAAAATAGCTCTCATTTCCCTAAATCAAGAGAATTCCAGTGAATCTTAAAGGAGGGCTCTTAAAGGTCTATTATCCCATCCCATGTTTGGCTCCCTGTCCTGGAGCCCAGTACAGGACTGGCTCATAGTTGGCACTCAGTAAATATTTGGCAACTTCATCAGGAGGTTGGTTAAAAGGCTGACCGGGGCTGCCCCAATCAAAGGCAGCTTCAGGTTCTTGGCTCTGCTTCCTTGACCAGACTACAGCTACAGGGACCTTCCTCATCATCTAATACACACACACATACACACACACAATTGTAAACTCCACAAGGACAAGTTGGGATCCCCCCTTCCCAGGGCAGCCGAGGACTCAAGGGCAAGTGGTTCATTTGGGAGATGATCCCAGGAAGCACGTTTAGGGGGCTGGGGAAGTAAGATGTAAGGGGAGGCAGCCAAGGCCGGGTGTGCCAATGAGGAACCGAGTCGTATTCCCCATGGGGACCTCTGGGAGAAGCCAGAGAGTACGCGCCAGAATTGCCCACACTAAGGGGTATGTTCTACCAACTCTTCTCTGTGAGTTGAAGGTTCCTCCTGCAGTGACCAGCCCCCAGACTGCTCCTCTCACAGGCTGAGCATGCTGCTGCCACCCAAGAGGCCCTGAGGCAGAGTGGCAGGTGCCCGAAGTGGGAAGCTGGTGAGCAAGGAAAGGATGCATCCTGGGGGAGAGGAACGGGGCACTGACAGCGGCTGCCACAGCTGGACTCCCTAGAGCCTGTAGCAGGGCCCGGCATTCAGCTGGTGCTCAGAAACAAAGTCGCACAAATGCATGCATGTACTCTATTGGTTTTATAAAACGTTTTTTGTATTTTTTTTTTACAGGAGGATGCTCTCTTCAAAGGAAATCTAATGAGAAAAGTTCAGAATGTGAAAGAAAGTAAGGAGGAGTTGCCTGATGGAAGGACCGGAATCGCCTCCCCCCACCGTACACACGCTGCCGCGAGGAACAACCTGGGTACCTCGGCACGCAGGGTGGAAAGCCCTGATTTAATACATCCCCCTCATTTTATAGACAGAATAACTGAGCTGCTGTGTCTCTGGTGACACCATGAGCTAGTGCTGGAAGCCAAAGGCAGCCCAGGAGAGTTGGTCGATGCACCCTGAGCACTGGCTCAGTCTCAACAGGAGCCTCCCCTGAAAGCACCTGGGAAGCCCCTGCTGAGGACTGGATGCAAGTCTTCCCCCAAGACTGGCAGGGGAAAAGGAAACCACTTGTTGCAAAGTCATGACACCTCGGCCATCTCCAAGAACACAGGTGATTAAGTCATTGTCATTCACATCCCATGGCTCCAGGACCAAATGTTAGCAGCCAAGGGGGCTGTCAGTGCCTTCCATTGGCACCCTTGCTGAACCTGCTCTTCGTAGTTGCCAGAGGGGCTGTCACCTTGGACAGGCAGACTCTACATCCCATGCTGAATTGGGTTCCCTCTCCACTGGAAGTCAAGCCAGACACCTTGAGGGCCTGGCCAGGAGCAAAGATCCTGAACTTAAAAACACAAGCTTGTGCTAGACAGCCAAGTCCGAGGCCACTAAACTGGAGCAAACTCACAGTTTGGACAGAGAGGAAAAGATTGAGATGTGGAAGGAAGGATTTCAACATTGACTTCCAGGAGCTCTTGGGTTTTCTGTGGCAAAGTTCAGTGGCCACCCCTCCGAGTCTAGGTCTCTCGCAGCCAAGACCGAAAACTCCCAGCTCAGCTGCCTTCCTTCCAGTCTTGACATCAGCCTGAAAACCAGGTAAGGCAGCCAAGGCCACCTACCAGGTTACCAATGCGAGAGGGGAACCGTTCTTCCTTTGTCTCACTGGAGCACCGGGGCCTTCCCTCTGTGAACCAAAAAGAAAAAAGAAATAACAAGGAATCATTTAGCGTGAACCCCTGTGGAAATCACCTCTCGGTCTGGGTCTATTCTCCAAAGAGGAACACTCAATGGACTGTCCAACCATTGCCCAAACCTCTAATTTTCGCAGAGGAAAATCTGAAGCCCAAAGAAGGGTAAGTCATTTGGCTAAGATCTCACAGTCATTTAATAGAACATCTACAACTAAAGTACCAGCTTTTGTTCTAATTCCTGGTCCAGTTCCTTTTTCTCTATACTAAGTTTAAGTAAAATTGACCTTTTCCCCTTTAGTTCTGCTTTTTCACTTCTTTTGTTTTTCTTTCCTTGTTTCTTTTTATTTATTTATTTCATTTTTGATTCCGTGTCTGGCACATAACGCTCATCATGTATTTGTTGAAGGATCATATGGATCTATGAATGAATCTCCCCTCTGAGGGAAAGCCTGGGACTTTTTTAAAAAGCCTATTTTTTGACCTTCAGCGATCTTCCAAATGGTACAAACATACGTGTGTTAGACCAGTGCTCACTAGGAGCTGAGGTTGCTACGTAGAGGGTGATGCAGTTCAGAGTTCAGTATTAGAAGGCGTGATGGAGAGTAAGCAGCGTTTGGCAACAGTTGAGGAAACCACAGCAGGGGCCCCTCCTCAGAGGGTTCGTGTATCCCTCCCTGTGGCCCAAGGCAGGGAGTTCATCCAGAGCTTGTATTGCGGCAAGGTTGAAATTATTTCCAGCTCCAAAATTCCATAACCCAGCACACCGATTAAGTCACAACTAGGGTATCTGTGCTGCTGGCATGACCACATCTACATGCTCAAAACACTTAGCCTGATATGATTTGGAGCAGGGGAAAAGGGGTTATTTTAATCCAAAACAGCAACAGTGATTTCCACCTAAGAGAGAAGTCTCCAGTCATCGATCTATCTCTGTTACAGCCTAAGCTTGTCTTCCTTTGGCTGTGCCTACTTATCGTTAGCACTAGAGCATTGAAGCAAGCAGCAGGCTTTATCTCTGTTTAAGTTTAGCTATTTACTAGCCATTCTTTTCTTTTTCATAAAACAGGCTCACTGTAAACACAGTTCTTTTCAAACAACACAGACACTGACAATGAAGGAAATAAAAATCACCATCAACATTTTTATGAACATCCTTCCTTTCAGTGTTCTCAACTCCTTGTTCAACATTTTAGCCTCATCCTGGTGCTTCCAGTCCCAGGTAGTACAGTCCCTGGTACTTCGATTACGTTGGGCTGAGCACTCATTTAATTCTCACAACATCCCCACAAGGTGGCAATTATTATCCCCATTTTATAGATTGAAAACTGAGGCTCAGAGATGTTGTGACCTGCCGAAGGGCACACAGCACATGACAGAGCTGGGTCCCAAATCCAGGTTTACCTTATTCCAAAGATCAAGTTAAAAAAATGTATATATAATAATCATTTTTTTGTACCTTTACTATGTGCCAGACTCTGTCCTAAATGCCTTATATGTGTCATCTCAAACCTTTACAGTAAGTTGATAAAGTAGTTTTTATTCTATTGTTCAGACATCTAAAGCATAGAGGAGTTAAGTGACTTGCCCAGATCATACCACTGGCAAAAAGACAGAGCCGAAAAGCAAATTTAGAGTTTCTGACTCCTAAGTCTATGCTCTTAACCAGGAAACAACATAATATCCTCCATTCTACTAGTTGAGACAGATTTATACATATATGGAGTCATGCTCCATATACACTGTTCAGTAACTTGTCTGTTTTCCTCACAGGGAAGGGTAATGGGTTTTTAATCCTTGCCTTTAAACTTGAAATGACATGACCCAGTGTTGACCCTTTAAGTCAACAGTTGGCCCCTGCCCCACCTATTGGCCCCCACTACTCGATCACAGCCCACACCCTGACCACCCGTCTCAACCACCTTGCCCTCTGTCACTCCTCAACTCCTCACTTTGATCTCACGCTTAGGTTGTCATCTTACACCTACCCCTCAAACCAGGTATCGCATACAGGCGCACTGACCCAGACCTCAGGTGTCAAACAAGCCCTCTTCTTGTGATTTGGCCACATCTGACCACTCTGGTGAGCCCCCTGCCTCCTCCAACCTGCTCCCCAGGACTTGAACCCTTAACACAAGCCCCTGCCTTGCAAGCACTTGCCTGCCACCTTCCCAATATTGGCTCTGGCTGAAGAAAGAAGGCAGTAACAGACATTCCAACTGACAACCACCACATTCCCTAGAGCTGAAAAACAATATCCAGCAGTACCACCTCCACTTAAATAAGGAGATGAGTTTCTTGGTAAATATGCACGGATCCCACAGCCCTGAGATTGAATTATGTCTGTCACTGTGCTTGGGTAATCTCACTGTGTGGCTTGGGGGAAATCACTTCATCTTTCTTGTCATCAGTTTCTCTATCTGTCAAACAACAGGTATAAACTGATGGTCCCAGGCCCCAGCAAACTCTGACATTCTATTATCCTATGATTAAAGAAATGACAAGCCTTGTAGATATTCCTCCCATCAGTGGTTTTGTCCAATCATTAACCAAGCTAATGAGGCTGTTTATGCAACCCAACTGCAAAGTTCACTTTGGGAGACGCAGGGAGGAATCAGAGCAGTTGGACATTCCGGAACATCGCTGGGGGCCAAACGTTTAGTTGATGGTAGTGTGCTGGCAACTGAGAAAAGAATTAGGGGGATCCTTGCAGAAACGGGGTGCACTTTGGAAGGAGGGAGCACTTTTGGTAAGTGGAAAACTGTTACTTGACGAAAGCCAAGGTAAAATCTACTTTTTGAATTTTTTTTTTTTAAGTTTGGCTCAATCATTTGTTTTTCTCTGTTCCTTATGTAATCTTGTGGGATGCGGCGTCAAAAAGTCATAAATCATTCATGGTGCTTTTGGAAAAAAAAATCACTTTGCAAAGCAGATGCAACTTAAAATGAAATGGGAGAAGTTTTTGCACGAAACCCAAAGAAAAACGTAACTCACAGGGTTCATAGCCTGCGCTGATCGCTAATTCCCACAATCGTTATGTGGCTCGGCCATTTGTTTCACGTTTCTTGATGTGCTTCATTTTTAATGGAGACTGAGTTAAAGATATAGCCTGTCAGAACTGTACTGCATTTTTCCAAGAGTCTTAGAAAAGAGGCTGTCTCGTTGGCATTTGCAGGGACAACTAAAGTTGGCAGATTTTATTTCTTGCTTGAAAAAAAACAAGAAAGACCCCGCTTTGTCCAAAAATCCCTTTGTCAATATGCTTGTCACTGCTATCCATAATTCCTTGGGTTAATTAAATTCCCTTTGTATATGTAAATAGTCTTCCCCAAAACCCACATGCAAATTTTTTTAAAAAGCAAGTAGCCCCCAGCAGAGGTAACCCATAAAGCTTACTCTCAAATATTAATGTCTTAAATAAATTGGTTTAGCTTTATAATTTCTAATGTGGCAGCTAGCTGATGAGGTTTCTAATAAATAAGAAAGTTATGGGCTTTTAAAATAATCTCTTTTATGTTTGTTAACTCATTCAAATTTCACAGAAGTAGCAAGGACAGGTATGTGTTCATTCATTAATCTGTTCCTACAACAACCTTTATTGGCTGTCAAGCACTGTGCTAGGGTGTTAAAGGTACAGACAAGATAACACCGCTTGCCCTTGAGCCAGCCACAGTATATGGGGAAACTTATCGGAGTTGCATGGGAGGGACTAAAAACTACAGGTAGCCACAAGTGGGAGCACCATGGCCGTGGATTTCAGCTTCACGTAAGAAAAGCATCCCAATTGTTAAAGTTCCCCAGTTAGAAAACTTAGTGAGTCTGCACTGGCAGGAGTATTTCAGAAGGACCTGGAGAACTAACTCTCAGAGTAGCTGCAGGAGACATGGCTGCAGGGCCAAGCGGTGAGCCCCAAAGATACATACATGTCCTCCCAGTTCTTAGTCCCAAAGTCTCTCAGTATTTATCATGATTCATTCCTTTATCCAACAAATATTTTGTGACTGGTGCTGACTTTGGGACCGCTTTAGCTGGGTTTCGATCTCAACTCTGCCCCTTTCTCGCTGTGAGACTTTGGGCAAGTTAGCGTCTGTGTGTCTCCATTTCATTTCTCTCTGTGCCTCCGTTTCCGCATCTGTAAGATGGAAATGATCATCGCTTCTGTTCACAGAGCTGCTATAAGATGAAAGGAGATGACTTATGTAAAGCGCTTTTGAACAGTGTCTGACATGTAACACACAAGTGATTAATATTGGACATTGGCAGCAATAGTAGCATGTATCAGGCCAACTGGGCTACATACTAGGTCACCGGGGTTAAGAAAACAGACGTGAAACTTCCTTTCCTTGAGTTTACAGTCAGCCAGGAGGTGGGAGAATATAAAGGATATTATAATGAAAGTCACAAAAATACAAATACAGCTTCAAGCTATGACAATTGCTATGAAAGGAAAAGAGAGGACGCCATAATAGTGTATGGTGGAGACTCATTTAGATTGGGAGATGCAGGGAAGAGTTCTTTGAGAAGCTGACATTTAAGCTGAGTTGCAAGCTAGATGTACCCCAGCACCCAGTAGTTTACAGAGGTGCCCCGATGCCTGGCCTTATTTTAAGATAACAGAGAAAGGAAGCCAGCTATCTGCACAGAGCATAGAGTCATCTTGTCAATCTGAGTTCCAACCTGTGCCTCAAGCCTCGCATTAGGCAATGTAAGTGTAAAGGGGCTCTCTCTGCTTTAGCTATTAGATTCCATTTGATTTTTCTCTTAACTCTAAACCCAATCCGTTTATCCATCCATCCATCCATCTACTCATCCATCCAAATAATGTCACATGCATAGGTACCTGGAATTAGAAATTGGACAGATCTTTGGGAGGGCCACCATTCAACCCACTGTCAGGTTCATGAAAGAGAGTAATAAAAATGGGTTCAAGCTCTATTTTGACTGACTTTTTGAGTGCCAATTTCAGACAACTTTGAGAGTCTCATTCTTTGCAGAG